GAAGAGGCCCTCGGAAGATGGGCTGGACCGTCGCGAAAGAAGTCCTCGCAGCTGAGTTCGACAAACCGGCCAACCGCCAGGAGGCTATGAGGCGTTTCAAGACGGCCAGGGTGGCACACGGATTTGACCCGACCGTGTTCTTCGCCGGCCTGTAGCAGTCATTGGATCGCGCTTTGCCGGGATTGGGCGAGGTTTCACGCTACCAGTTGCTGTCAGACCAGTTCGTCGGAGGAGTACACCCCGCGCTGGGTGCCCAGTTGAGGTTGGTGAGAGCGACACGCCAGTTGCATGTGGAGGAGCTGATGCATCTGGCACGGGAATTGGACGAGGCACCACCGGCCACGTTCCGGTCGCAGGAGAACAAGGATGGTTCAACAGTGCCAGGGAAGGAGAACTACGTAGCTGATTGGCTGTCAAGACCAGAGGCTGATGCTGAGGCCTCAGGATCATGATCGGGGCCAATAACCCCGCGCAGAACTCCACTAACTGTCAGGGTTCTGCACCATTCGTTGTACACCCCAGCTCGACCGGAAATCTTGGGATAAAAAGTAGAGCGAATGGTTAAAGATTTCATTGACATCCCACCCTAGAAAAAAGTATTCAGAAGAGACACTACCCATAAAATCGAGGTCGATAAACCGTGGTTGTCTGTCAGCGCCATGGGTGGCGCTGCTTAAACTCATGACGTAGAAATACCGTCGATGTACCTCACACCAAGCCGAAATCCTGTTTGATGTTCTCGGACTTGTGCATCATACAGAAGTTGAACACAAACGGTCCCACACAATATTCACAATATAAGGAACCCGGTAGCTGCATTACAAGCGTGATTTGTCCCCCGATGATCAGAACAAACGTTTCAGACACCTTTTTTAAGCAAGGGCGCAACCACAGACCACTTCCATTCTCTGGAACATGATTTTAACCACAAAAAGTGCGAACCACCTGGCCAAGGCAAAACACGGATTCTTCTCCATCTTTGAATAACGCCGGGTTAGGTTTTTCCAGTTTAGCAACCTGATGGCGTTTCAAAACCAACTGCGGATTTAAACGATGGGGTGCATCTACTCTAAAGGTTGCATGGCCCGAAGATCTGCAGTCGTTGCCCTGTGGCTTCAAATCAGTCTCGTACACCTCCAAAATGTTGCCTTATGTAGTATACGGTGTAAGTATTGATGATGTACAACCTTGCTTACTGAGCTTTGGCTCATGAGCTTTGTTTCTGTTCTCCGTCTACAGAACTCGTCGTGAACACCTGCCTTCGGAGAATCACTGCCCCTGCTCCCATAGCGTGCATATTACATAATTGGCGACCATGCCAGGATGGTTACCACACCCAGAGTAGACCCACCACAAAGATCCTGGCTCTACATGTGTATACAGGCCGCAGAGCTAGCACGTTGCTCACTCACGCACGATAGACGCAGACCCGGATACAGCAACCCCTGCACACGCTCACCAACTTAACGCACCACACCACTAGCACCGGTCGGTTCACATAGGCAATGGTACACCGGGGACGGTGTTCTTCAAAAAGGAGGCCAGTGTAGTATACGGTGTGTCGGTTTGGTTAATTCATATGTAAGTATTGGTGATGTAAAACCTTGCTTATTGAGCTCTGGCTCATGAGCCTTGTTTCTGCCGCTTCATCCCAGAAATTGTCGTGAACACCTGCATGCCTTCGGAGAATCACTGTCCCCTGGTGCTCCCATAGCGTGCACATTATACCTTATTCACTAGAACGCCGAGTTTATAGGCAAGTTCTTAATCAGAATGGCCAATGTTTCAGGGCCCTGTTCAAAACTTGTACGCGCCCTATCCTGGAATATAGGCCTCATGCAGCAGGCACGCTATGGACCATGATTCTCCCTAAGGTAGGTGTTCACAATAATTTTTGGATAGGAAGCAGAAAAGAAGCTTATGAGCCGAAGCCCAGTAAGCCATTTCGCACATCAATACTTACATACAAACCAACCTAAACGGTGGGCACCGAACACTACACCACTGGCCCCGGGAAAGCCAGTCGCCATCTCCGCGAACAGCTCAAATCCTGAACCAACAGCCAATGAACTCACTGGTTCACGGATTCATGAATTGATGCATAGGATCGAGGCTTTCAATCAAGTTCCCCCGGTCGGTTTTGGTATTGTCGTCCACCGGCTCCCATTTATACGAAAGACAAACGAAAAATGGCGAAGCACCGACATTCAAGTTCTCAGCACTGAGCAGTGAGCTGGTCAGCGCAAAGGCTTTCATAAAAGTGTCTAATAGTCTATGAAATGGGTTCCAGATGAATTCACGGATTCACGGATTGATACACAGGATCGAGGCTTTTGCCCAAGTTTCCCGGGTCGCTTTTGTTCTTATCGTTCAGCACCTGCCGTTCACCTGAAAGGCACAAGTGAAAAAAGGGTGTGGCACTGCTCTTTATGTTCTCAGTGCAGGGCAGCACGTTAGCCAGCGCGAGGATTCGCGCGAACAAATGCCTGGTAGTGCTTTGAACTGGGTTCTAGAAGGAGCGCGGACAATCGACGGAGGGAGGTCATTCGATGCAGCTACTGCCCGAAATGAGAAAAAAATTTTGTCTAATGAATATGTACTCTCTGAGGTTGAAAATCTTCTCACTAAGTCCCCACCGTGTGTTTGCTGGGTCAACGGTAAAAAACCTGTTTGCCAACCGTCGGACAACCGTTGGACAACCGTCGGAGGATGATTATTCCACAAAGCTACTTCACGAAATAAGAAAAATTTTGCCTTATGAAATTGTGCTCTCTGGGCTTGAAGCTCCTACCATACACGGATTCACGGATTGATACACTCGATCGAGGCTTTTGCCCAAGATTCCCGAGTCGCTTTTGTTCTTATCGTTCAGCACCTGCCGTTCACCTGAAAGGCACAAGTGAAAAAAGGGTGTGGCACTGCTCTTTATGTTCTCAGTGCAGGGCAGCACGTTAGCCAGCGCGAGGATTCGCGCGAACAAAT